GGCGGGGCGTAGGGGGCTCGGGGGGGGAAATGATGGAGTTTGGGTGGAAAGCGATAGTTGCGTGCTAGGTGGCATGCTGGGAAGATTGTGTGCAGAAATGAGGAACGGGGCATTTCACAGAACTGCTTTCTCGGAGGTGACACAGATTTTGTTACGGTGATGTCTTCCTCTGTTACTTGGTTAATTACGTTCATCCTCTTGATTTTAAGGAAAAAAGGATGAGAAACTCTTGTGCTTTCAAAAGTACTCTTTTTAAACCAGGAATCAGATTTGAGTCCGTGCAGCTCATAGTTAAATCATAACCTCAGCAGGAGTCTGTAACGCACTGCTGTGTCTTGGCTACTAACTGTACAACCTGAGGGCATGAACACAGCGCTGGCGTTTCTAGTAACATGATGACAGAACAGTGGGTTGAGGTGGGAGGCAGCAGTGGTGTTGCTAAATTCATCATCTGTGATGATGATACAAGCTTCTTGTCTAAATTTATGCGTGCAGTCAGGGCAATAGCCCCTAAACATGAAAGGGTGCAGCTTGTGCACTTATGCCAAGAACCAGATAGCAAATGAGATGTACCTTTAGTGCAGTTAATTAAAAATACGGGGTGTTTATTGGAATCAAAGTATCTCTTCTAATTACCAGCATCACCTTACTGTTCTTTTTATAAAAAAGTCCAAAATGTTCAATTCTGAATGCTCAAAGCAGAACTTTCTTCTTGCCGAGACACCAAAACATAATATATTCATTGCCATAGGTGCTGCATGATCCTAAATATCATGTCAACTTAGCATTCTGCACAAATGCAGAGGTTCTGTTGGTGTCAGATTTCAAAAGAATTAACCTTAAATATTTATTTAGGGTCTTAATACAAAGAATGTGTATTTGGGTTACTATGATGGAAATTGAAAAAATCTCTGTAAAAATTAACTTTACTGGTGATCTAGCAAGTAAATTACATGCTTCCATTAAGAGCACGTATTTAGTATCCACACATCTAAGGCTGGACAGTGTGGACTTCGAAGGCGGCTGGCACAACTGACATACAAAGTGCTATTCAGGAGTCTGGAGAGTTTTAAGAATAATTTGTAGCCAAATTGTGTGCTTTCCCTGTAAGTAGGGGGCCTGTCTGCACAGCAGGTGGGCCAGCGTTTCAAGCTTGGGTTCTAGGGCGGTAGCTGCCTCTGGAAGTAACTGTGATATGTGGTTTACTGCATCCCACAGTCGTGATGCTGTGCTCCCAGGTAGCTGTGACAAGGTATGATGTGTTCCTTAAATTCAGTGTGTCAGAAATGTAAAATGGAACCAAAATTTTGCTTGTCATGAGGGGTGATTTCAGTAGCCATAAAAGTAAAAAGGAAGCTACTTTTGCCGTGCCTGTTTTGGATCAGTTCAGGAGAAGCTATTTCTAATTACTTTGCATTTACCAGGGGTCAGAGAACTCACGTGCAAGCGGTTACCACAGAGCAGTTAGAAAGGCGTTTGATAGCGTTCTGAGTTATTTCGACTGTTCTGACTTGCTTTGCTCTTTTTTTTTTTCAGTCTTGCCTCTTAATAAAGTCTAACCTGAGGACAGGGACTTGAACTTAACCAGAGTTTGGATCTTTATTTTCTTCTTCCTGGTGTAGTTGCCCTCTGGCTTACAGTAGTTTTCTTGTCATCTTCAGAATCCTGGTATTAAGCATGTGCTTATTTTATACAAATAGGGATTGGATTTTGAGTACAAAACCAACTAGGTAAGTCTTTTCCCTATGGACTGAAAAATTACTAATACCGGTACTTAACAGCATCACAAGCCACAGGCAAATCTAGCTGCACGCAGAGCCTGGTCAT